TACATTATACTAAGTATAGGGTTGGAACAATCAAACCAGCAATTGGTAAGGACCTGATCCTGCCTCCACTGAACTACTTGGCCAGGCTCCTCCTGGCGACTACGGAGCACGGGATCGCATCTGTAAAGCAAGACCTACAAAAAGGTCTACAGCTCACAGTAATAACTGCTGCGGGCCCAATCCTGCAAACATTTCTACAGGACCAGTGGTTTCAGCAGAGTCCAGCTAGCTCCCTCGAAACACGACTGCCCTTGCCATAGTGAGTTTCAGCCCATAATTGCTGCTCTTAAATGTTCAAAGAACAACTACTTTTGCTCCTCACATTATTCTTCAGACAATAATGCCATCAATTCTTTAAAAAACAGTAATTAGAAACATTACCCTTTGTGAATCTAAGCAACCAAATATCTGACTGATAAACAGCTTTTAAATTAAATGATATAATCAATTTGAAGTGTGACCAAGAAAACTATATGCCATTAAATCAGACATCAATGCTATTAATGTTATTAATTAATGTTAATGCCATTTAGCACTAGAAAAATGTGCATTTTCATATTTATTTGTTAACAGGAAATAATTCCCACCGACATGATGAGGAATAAAATATGATAGCATTTCCTGATCGGGCTAGAACTGCGCTCTCTGAAAGCCAAGACCTGGGCGTCTGCCCTCAGTACATAAGAGTACATATACACCACATAAGGCAAATGCATAAAGAGCTTCAACAGAAATTGCAGTTGGTTTTGCATACTTGGCACAATTTTTTTTTTTTAAATGCACTGGGATGAAAATAGGAATCTGAAGGAGAGTTAAACACGACCTTCTGCTAATTTATATAGCGTTAATGTTTTCTTCCAACAGCCAAGCTCCCTCTGGCTTGCGTCGTATGTTTTTTGCCTTAAAGTCACCATACCTGTATCTTTTGTTATCCACTGGCACGATATCCATAGCAATATAATACTGCTGATGTGGGTCTAAACCTGAGATCTTCACTCTCATTGCGGGGAACATCCGCCTGAACATGGAAAGAGAGAGGTCATTTTTAATATGAAACAGACTCGGGAATGGTTGTTTAGGAAAAGTAACCGGTTCCTGGGATTTTTCTCGTTCTTCCTTTTAGCCTACAGAGTCCTTTTGGACGATTATAGTTACATAGCCATGAAATGGCCCATTCGATATGTCAAAACAGATTTCTAAAGTGCATTTACTCGAACAATGCTTCGTATGTTTTGGGATACGCTTTGGGAGTACAGCTATTACCACATCATTTCAACTTTATTGTTAGACAGTAAATCATTTGGTTTTGAGACTTGACTTTAGCAGTACACGCATTCAAAGCCGTTGGAGATATTAGCTAGAAATGTACTTCTGGAGATGTGCAAACACCACCTCCACCCAGGACGACCAATTCTTACAGAAATGCAAATTGCCACTGAAGTTTCAACTGACAGCAGCAAATGGTGCATCATTTCTGTAGCAGCAAATCAGAAAGCTAAATCCACGGTGATACAATTATAACACCGCAAGGATGCAGTTATAAAAGCCAACGTGCCATGCTGTAACCCAACAATATGGTCTTTATTGAGACGGGACTTCCTGTCTGCAACTTACTAAAGGTGAAGTGCAAGAGCTACCCTGCCTTTGAAAGGTATAGTAAAACTTCTTTATTGAAAGCAGAAACGAATGCACGAGGTAATTTCTAAAAAAAAAAAAAACAACAAACCAAACCCAAACGTTCACGATTTAGCTCCTTCTGCGGAGAAAACGGAGTAATTAACTGACACGGTGGTTTTAACATAAAAATGCATTTTTTAGCTCACGTTTGGCATGCCTTTTATCAAGAAAGTTCTTCCTGAAGCCAAAAAAAAAAAAAAAAAAAAATTAACGTCCTGGTGATGAGCTGACTGCAAGCTAATGAAAGGTACTTTCCTGTATTTTATAAATCTGAAAGCCATTCCAGTTTATTCGGTATTTGCTGCTGTTCTTAAACATACATATATATAAATCAATTAAAAGTCGTTACTGGAAAGAAAGAACCTATCTCCATTATTTCTGAGTAAGCGGGAGGGTAAACCTGACTGCGGTTAACTAGTTTTCGCTGTTATTTCAGTGCACCTGTAAGATAAAACAGAAATTCCCCGACTGAACTCTCGTAGGACAAATGTTGCTTTGTGCTGTTTAAGACTGCGTTTCAATCATTAATAGAGCCTCTCTGAAAACGTAGAAGGTAGCATATGGATTCAATAAAATATGGTTTTGTAATTTCTAATAAGTTCAGATACTTTTATACTACCCAGGTTTTCACCATGTGTATCCACTGGAAAGGAGAAAAGTTTCCCCTCGGAAGGACACGGCGCTCGCAGACCTCGCCCTAACGAACGGGAAACCCGAAACGCCACATGCTCCCATCTAAAATTATCGCCATCTACCTGCCTCGTAAATCTGGGGGTTTTCCCCCGTTTCTTGCCCGCCG